GCCTTTCTTACATGGACAGGGTGGTATGTGCAAAAGTGTCCCGACCTCTCATATTCGCTCGACATGTGGAAGCTGAAGATACGACGGGACAGAAGCCGATGAGCGCGGCATTAAATGGAAAGCCGAATACTGCTCTTTTAATCAGGTACTTTGAAGAAATCGGAGGAGGAACCCGCCTTGCAATGTCGAAGACAATCTGCGTGCCGGAAACCTTGTCATTGAAGCCTGGTTCGGGGGCTACTGAGGGAGTCCCAGATTAATGGGTCCTCGGACAGCCGGACTATTGATGTGGGCCGGACTGTTGGGCTATGAAGATACAAGACTAAAGACTCTCTCCCGTGTCCGGATGGGACTCTCCTTGGCGTGGAAGGCAAGCTTGGCGACCGAATATGTAGATGCCTTTCTCTGTAACCGACTTTGTACAACCCTAGTCCCCTCCGGTGCCTATATAAACCAGAGGGCTTAGTCCGTAGAGGCATAGACATACACAATCATAATCCTCATAGGCTAGACTTCTAGGGGTTAGCCATTACGATCTCTTGGTAGATCAACTCTTGTAATACTCATATCATCAAGATCAATATAGTAGGAAGTAGGGTATTACCTCGATAGAGAGGGCTCGAACCTGGGTAAACATCGTGTCCCCCGCCTCCTGTTACCATCGGCCTTAGACGCACAGCTCCGGACCCCCTACCCGAGATCCGCCGGTTTTGACACCGACAGGGTTCTCTCTAGCAAACTCATGAAAAGTCTCGGAGTATGACGTGTAAGATCCACCCGCGGGAAAGACCCACGGTAGCCCAATATCGGTCAAGGCTTTGTGTGAAGCTAGATTTGCAGAAAACTTGCAATTCAAGGCCCAGTCCACTGTTCAAGTTGCTTACTAGTGTAGCATAGAGTTCTAGGTGGAAGTTCAGCTCAACAGTCTCCACTGCAGTACCAGTATATAAAACAGTGTTTTGGAACCAAAGTCAATTCTTGTGTGCCTCTGGGATCTTGTGGGGGATTGCTGGAATTTAGTCTATTTTGGGACAGCCCAATAACTATTTCAGAAATTCCTAATAAATCCTAGAGGCCCACTTAGCCCTTTCGTGCAAGGCAAGGGATACTACTAAAGTTTAGTCTCACATTGCTAGTTTAGTGGGAGTTGGACCTCCTTATAAGGGAGGTTCTTTCCCCACTTGTATGAGCATGAAAACAAGAGGGACATCCACGCGCGCCCCTCCGCCGCCGCCCGCCTCGCCACGCCTTGTCACGACGCGTCGTGCCGCAGGTTGCGGGAATGATCCGATCCGATGTCTAATTTGTGCCACGCACGACGGGTATACGAAAAGTTACACGGACGCTGAAAAGATTTTTTGCAATAGTGGAGTTTGAATGCGAACGGTGCAACCCTTCGGCTGCTGGCTGTTCGCTTCATCTCCGTCTCTTCGTTTCACCTTCCGTCGCTGCCCTCTCGTCTCTCTCTCCTGTGCCTATAAAAGGGAGGTCACTCCTCTCATAGATGCACACCAGAAGATCCTCTTCCTCTCGCCACAAAGTTCCTGAGCATTGCGCTGCTGCTACGATCTTCCCCATCCCGGCTTGCGGCATGCTCCGCAGGTCGGGACAACAGGCCTCTGAAACCGCACCTCTTTAAGTCCTGTACATTTGAAGGGTGATAAGGTTTTTGGGGAGCGCTCTGCGCGACTACTGACCAGTTCATCACGGACACCGACGACCACTTCCCCAACGATGACTTCTTCCCCGACGTCGACAATCTCTTCGACGACATGGTTGGCGAGGATGTCGACCCCAAGTCCAGTGCTTCTGCTCTTGCTGTTGTCCCGTACATGTTCTTGTTTTTCCTGTTAGAGGTCCTGCCACAGTTCCTTGTTCTGGTGTTTGCCCTAGATGTTTGGTTACAGTTCATATATGCATATGCCATTTACCTTTTCTCTATCAGATCGCATGACTTGTTTTATCTCTGCTATGTTAGTCATGCTTTATCTAGTATTTCTGATAAAATCATTCGGTAAATTGCTCATGTTTCCAACAAAAAATAAATCTACATTGAAAACTGAAAATCATATTGCCGTCTTCTTCTTTTCATTGCACGTCATCCATCAGAGCTTGCAAATAACACTGAACCGGCAGTAAAAGAAAGCGAGACATACAAAAGCCCTTTTGTATCATACTTTAGAAACCGCAATAGCCACTCATCGCTAGAAACAAGATCAATAATCAGTGAAGGAATTGCTAGAAACATACTGCATGCTTACTATCCTTCAATACCAGTCCAGACAACTAAAGAAATCGGGTCATACCACAGAACAAATCGAAAAACAAGGTCGAAGTCACTGCATCAAAAGGCAGTCAATTGATTCTATCGGGTCGTACCACAGAACAAATCAAAAAACGAGGTCGAAGTCACTGCATGAAAAGACAACCAATTGCTTCTCTTAGTTGACACTCCAACCGCCAAGATCAAAAGAGAGTCAACACATCTAGCAACACCTACCCTCATAATCTCTTTGTCGGCGATGATTAGACATTGTCGAGGTTGGAAGAGGCTGGAGAAACCTTATTCCAGCACATCATGTTGATTGTGTGTCATGTTCTTATCATTGTTCATACCTGGTCGTGTCTAGAGGGTTCTCCCAGAGTGATCACTAGCGCCCTTGCCAAGGCTTTCAACGATGCAAGGTATCAAGACAGACCGGCTTATGTGTCACTGACACACCAAAAAATGGGCATCTCCAATAGAGTTTATCAAATGGACGCCCCCAAATGTTCGTGGACACGTTCATATGTGTCTACGGACATCAGATCGAACGGATGCCATCCAACACTATCCCCCATTCCCATATTTCAAATATTTCAAACGCGTCATTCATATGAAATTTTACCGAGTTTGACAAATTTCATGGAAACTAAACAGAGTTTAACAAGTTCAATATATATGACATGCAAGCTACCCCAAATTAAACTAATTCAGAACTAATGAGTGGTAGTGACCTCGTAGACATCACTTTCAAGGCCACTCGGACCGCAGTTGTCGTTGTAGTATATATTGAACAAGTATAACTCCTCCTTGACGTTGGTCGGGTGCCACTGGATGCATGGCTAGCAACGCGACAAGGATGGCATCTCCTCCATGATGCATCATTCGATGTAGACATCAAGGTTTTGCGGCGGGGATGATGGCTCCTCCTTCACGTGGTGTTCGATTTGGATGCGACGGTTCCATGCCTGGGACAATGACATCTTATAGATGTCCCTTCCTTCCTCGTGTCTAAGTGCTCGCAGAGGTTCTCATACACCTGACCCATTTATTCACTCACAGCTCGCTTTGTGGCCTTCTTTGCCACATCGTAGTTCTTTATGTTGTCTGCACCCCTATCTAGGTGTAGGCGTCTGAAACAGATTTTGTTCTCCTTAACAGTCTTTTGGACATCATTGTTACTCCCTTTTGGTGCTCTCATTGTGGCCTAATTGCGGGGTATACGTGTTGATAACATTGAGAACTAAGTCCCCAACTACCAGCTTGACAAGGATAATTCGCTCCCCTTGCCTCTTGACGTCCACCACTCCATACTTGAGGCTCTTATTGATCAAGATGCCTACTTCATTTCTGTTTGTAGTTGTTCCCGTGTATCACATCTTAAAGTCGGTATCCTCCACCTACTCCGACTTTTGTCCCCTCTATTTGGTTTCTTGGGCGCATATGATATCAAGTTATCAACACCTCTCCCCATTGTTGTATCAACTAGCTCTCCTAATTTACACCCTACGTTCCAACTACCTAAGCGAACCCTAATAGGCTCGGCTAGCTTCCTCACCCTTCGCACTCGTCGAGTCAATTACTCATTTTTCACTACACCTGGGCATCCATGTAGCGCACCACAAAGGATATGACGATCTGATCCTTGCTCACTTATCGCCCATTTAACACCACACCTGGATTCCGATATGGCATGCCGCTCAGATGGTTACACCCCAACGATGTTCTTTTGGGTTTCATCTCCATAAAAGCGGTTGAGTTTTGAAATTGGCTCGCGAGGCCTATCACAGCCCCCTCTCCTTACCCGAGCTTGGGACCGACAGTGTCGAAACACATAGGCGGAGTTAAACTAAGGCTAGGTGTTAGAGGAGGGACAAAATCATGAAATAATTTATAATCTGGGTAGCTCCCAAATATTACATGAAACCGTGTGCAAGGTTTGGAGGTGGGGCTAAGTGTAGAACACTGAAAGCAAAGGGAGTTTAGTTATTCACCGTTTAATATAATGGCAAATAAAAACAGAGCTTAGTTTAGTAAAATATATCAAAACTAATCCTTAATAAAATGCCATATGATGCTTATGAGATGCACATGATGTACAATCAATATCTAACGTAAGTGCTGGTCATGGGCTGTTACAAGAAGCTCAAGCTTTGGTCAGCATATGCGATGATGTTGCTACTAAAGCTCCTTTGCTTTTCTTTTTTCTTCGAACTATGCAAGAGATCTACATGTAAATTCATCAAGAAGTTGATACAATGCCAAATAAATACACGACCCCATACAAGCAGCACGAGAAAAACTAAAACGATATATTTTTATTTTCTGTTATATGTTCCAGTGCTTCCACTTTGTGATCCAAACAACTAGTGAGCTCAGTATACTATACGTTCCACAACAAGTAGTACTCCTGATGCAACCGTTAATGGATCACGCTGTGGCATGGTTGAAGCTCGCCAGTCATGTCTTAAAAGCACATATCTGCGGAACAGCTGAAAGTCCTGAAATGCACCTTCTTCCTTCCATTCATTTTGGATCTAACTATACAAGTGTTTCTCCACCTTCCAACAATCTTTCTCTGCCTACGTTGCATTGCACTGTGTGATATTTACAGCATCTGATGGGCAGGATTCATGATTCCGTTGAACAACCTTGCCAAACGAAGCTAGTTAAACCTGAAAGACCTATTGAAGGTTGTCTGATTACATCTCTTCGTGGTCTATTCATGGACTATCGATTATGGTGGCTCTTGGAAGTACGGATGGTTCAATGCTTCATCAACGCTTAGACGGTCCTCCTGGGAGACAGGTAATTTATTGCATGTTAAATCAATGGAAACGAAGAAAATGTTAAAGTCACACTAAGAACTGCATTATTGTTTAAATCGGTCAAATTCAATAACAAGACATGGATGGCCACATTATGGTTTAAGGACGCACAGGACCGAAAATGGGACAGCCATAGCCTAACCAGTGCCTTATTATACACAACTGCACATTATGTCCACTAATTGCTGTGATAAATCTTCATCTTTTTGTTCAATTGAGACCTGGGTGTGGGACCACAGTTAAAACAACTCCTATCAGGATAAGAGGTATTAGAACTTAGACAACATTAGGCACAGAATCTTTGTTACAGATAACAGAATACTGCCCCAAGTGAGGTTTATTACCTACATGCATAGTAATTGAATTTTCCTGACGGAGATATTGCATAACTGCTACGATTTTTCACATCATGTAGCAACTATTCCACATCACGCATTCGTAATAGCCAGATTCTATTGAAACAAAGGGTACAAAATGCCTCTTTTGCAGAACTGGGTTCAAGACACTTACATGATGCCACACTAGTAGCTGGCGCGCTAGTCGCAATGCCCACAAATTAGGAAAGCTGGAATACGTTAGCAATGTGGTACAATTAGATATGAGGAACTGAATAATCGGGGTCTGCAGAAAATGGTGATAAGAAGAATAAAATACCAACCCCATTTTAAGAGGGTCTAGGATTTTCACTTGACGGGCAAATGATTCTTCAGAGCATTTCCAAGAAGCTAACCCGCCGTGGCCCTTAAGTAATGAAAAGGAAAGAAGGAATCAGGTGATGTGGAAGCTTAAAGCATAGTAATAAACTAATAATGACAGAATAGGTCGATGCAGGGAATAATAAAGGATGTATATGCAGATCTGTGCATTTCCTGGAAAAAAAATCTCTGCCAAAAATATAGCTTTCTGAATTTTGCCGTCCTCAACAACTATGTGAACACAGGCATTTATGTGACATTTTTGGAAGAGAATGGCATATAATGCACACGATCATTACAAGTTAATCAATAGATAATGTAGTTGTTGTACTAACCCGTTCGGAATTAATGCTGCCTTGCTGCTGCGTAGAAATCCCCGGTACTAAAATGCACAGTTCCATGTAAGACCTCAACCTAACATCATAACAAGATAGAAGAAACGCTACGTCTCAATACTCCACAGCATTTACCAGGAAAAATAATACTGCACAGATAATTTGGAATCACCATAATTCAAATAATCAAGCAAGTTGACACTAATGGTTCAGCAGTGCCCCAAAACAGACAAATTGTATTATGGCACTGTGACATGTGTTGGGCAAATAAGCCGCCGCGGCACGTCGGACGCGTCCAGCGCGTGTATGGGCGCGCGCGGGGCGTGTCGGGCGCGTCGGGTCCGCCTCAAACGTGTGCGTGTGGTGCACGGGGTGATCGTGCAGGAGTACACCGTAGGCATGTGTGTGTGTGCGCGTTCTGTTAGCGAGTCTAGGGGGTGCGTGGAGCTGGTCCTAGGCGGGCTCGCCGCGACCCAGACGTGTGCGTGCATGTCACGGGCGCGGGCAGAGATGGCCGGACCGGGCGCTCGACGTGGACTGGGGCGTGGGTGCATGCCCGGACGTGGCCCAGGGTATAAGACCCCCTTGTGTACCTTGTAACAGATGTGGTCGAGTTCGTGCTCGAGGGAATAATCGTGGTTGCGGCGGCGGCGTTCGTGCGCCGGGATAACTCTCGTGTCCTCGTGTCTCCTCCATCTTCTTCCTCCTCGGTTTGTGCCAGAGGGTGGGAGCGAGGTGCATAGAGAGAGGTGTAGAGCTAGGGCAGGCTAGGGTTTCGGGCGGCAACAACAATTGGCATCAGAGCCTCGTTGTGGGAGGAGCTTGATGGCGATGTCGCTTGTGCCGTACGCCGGTGGAGCGGGCAGCTCGCTGCCGCAGCCGGTGCCGATGCTCACTGGTGATAATTACACCACGTGGGCGATCAAGGTCGAGGCAAACCTCGACGCCGCTGGGCTGTGGGGGCGGTGGTGCTGCCGGAGGACGCGGCGGCGGCGATGATCGCCAAGGACAAGCCGGTGCGGGCGTATCTGCTCGGGGCGCTGGCGGAGGATCTTCTGCTGCAGGTGGCGTCCAAGAAGACGGCGGCTAAGGTTTGGGCCAGCCTGAAGGCGCGGTTCGTCGGCGCGGATCGAGTCCGGGCGGCGCGGCTGGGCACTCTCCGCGAGGAGTTCGAGCTGCTGCGCATGGCGGAGGGTGACACGCTGGATGGGTTCGCCGACAAGCTTGGTGGCATGGCAGCGCGCTTTGCGGGGCTCGAATCGACGCTGGAGGACGCTGCGCTGGTGAATAAGATGCTCGACTCCGTGCCTGACCGCCTGTACGTGGCGGTGGCCGGGATCGAGCAGTTCTGCGACGTATCGACGATGGCGTTCGAGGAAGCGCTGGGTCGTCTGAAGGCGTTCGACGAGCGGCTGCGATGGCGTGGACAGGCGGGCGGCGAGCGGGCGGACGGCTAGCTCATGTTCACGGCGGCACAATGGCGGGCACGAGAGCGGCAGCATGGCGGAGCTCGGGACGACGACGACAGGCGGAGCGTGGCGTCGAGCAACGGCGGCAACAGGTGCGGCCGCTGCTACAAGTGCGGCGAGCGTGGCCATTTCAAGCGGGAGTGCCCCCGGCTGCGGAAGGCGCAGGCGTCGGAGCACGCGATGATGGTAGACGCCGGTGTCGAGGACGGCGGCCTGCTCTGAGCCGCGGCTTAGGGGGTGAAGTGTCGGGCAAATAAGTCGCGGCGGCACGTCGGACGGATCCAACGGCTTAGGGGGTGAAGTGTCGGGCGCGTCAGGTCCGCGGCAAACATGTGCGTGTGGTGCATGTGATGATCGTGCAGGAGTACACCGTAGGCGTGTGTGTGTGTGCGCGTTCTGTTAGCGAGTTTAGGGGGTGCGTGGAGCTGGTCCTAGGCGGGCTCGCCGCGACCCGGACGTGTGCGTGTATGTCGCGGGCGCGGGCAGAGCGGGCCGGACCGGGCGCTCGACGTGGACTGGGGCGTGGGTGCGTGCCCGGACGTGGCCCAGGGTATAAGACCCCCTTGTGTACCTTGTAACAGATGTGGTCGAGTTCGTGCTCGAGGGAATAGCCGTGGTTGCGGCAGCGGCGTTCGTGCGCTGGGATAACTTTCGTGTCCTCTGTCTCCTTCCTCCTTCCTCCTTCTCGGTTTGTGCTAGAGGGTGGGAGCGAGGTGCATAGAGAGAGAGAGGTAGAGCTAGGGCAGGCTAGGGTTTAGGGCGGCAACAACATGCTGATAATATAAAAAGACATTTAGCTAAGATGCTATATATTGTTAGAAAACCATTTTTTTTGTAGTTTTTCTGTGTCGAAGGTCGAATTTCCAGAAAAAATCTGAATTCTGCTATTAATCACTCACTTTAGCTTAGAGCATCAATTTCTTATGTTGGCTTACAGCATTGGTTTGTTCCATGAGCCTAAATGATGTTTGTATTATTTCATTCACAATGAACACATTTGATTTCTTAGGATTGGTATGAGAATCAAGTTGCAAACTATACCAGCTTCGTTAATCTAGGAACAGAAAATGTACTTCATAACTCACACATCAAAAACCAAAACAGTGTCTCACTTGTATGCAAGCTCCTTTGTTTCCTCACTCCACCCTTCAAGGCGTTGATCCATTAAAATACGTGCACGGTCACTTATCTGGAAAACATGTGGAGAACCAACTATCAACTCCAGCATGACAACTCCAACACTCCAGATATCATATCTGTAAACAACAAAATGAGAATATCGATGACTTTCAGTGCGGTTGTGCTGACAATGGTGGCACAGGGAAGCATTTGCAGAAGCAAAACAAATGGACAGAGACATACTTTAGTCTTGCACTTTTTGATCCCTGAAACCAGCTTGAATTAAGGAGTGCCTCTGGAGGAGTGTATTCAAAAGTCTGCTCAGACCTAGAATTGAGTTCAAAACTAGGATTAGAATGGAATGAAATAAAAGAAAGCAGGATCATGCAGTCTTCTTCAAGAACAAGCATGTTGGACAGTGTAGAGTATAGCCTTCTGCAACTGCTAAAAGAATACTGGACAGTAAATTGACGGCCAGATAATGTCCAAAGTACTTAACATGGAAAAACACCTTTTTCGAGAAACAAAATGTTGCAGTTCGGCACTGAACATGTCCATTAAGAGGAAAATCATGCAAGTTGGCACAAGAACCTACTCTAAAAATTAACCATTGGCATAAACATGATGAGAAAATAAAGAAATTACTTGAAAAAAAATCTAAAATTAAAAACTACTAGTTAACAAATTCATAAATCCTGCACGTCATACAGTTCACGTGCTTCAACTTTGTAACCAGCGTGTAGAACTGTTCGAAAAATATATCATGGATTAGTTCATTGAACTCTTAAAGATACATTCAGTTCCAAAAGAACTTATAGAAACAAAAGGTCATATTTTCACATATTGGATTGTAAGATCTATGTCCAAAATGAATCTAACATTTACAGCAAGGTCTTGAAGCACTAAAGTGTACATGCAACCTAATTAAGAAGTGATGACGATTTTCAAACTGCAACATCCAAAAAATAAAAATAAATAAGTGTTCAGTACCTAAACCCAACAACCTCATAAATGTATGCTCTGATAAATGATAATAGGGAGAAAATTATCACACACCGAGTAGGCCCTGAGCCATAAAGATGCTTCAAAGTGAAATCATCAATGGCACTGCCGAAATCAATAAGACGCCTGCATATAAGAAGTCAGTAAGTAGTGCCAGAAGTATGCAACACCCTGCTAACATTTTTATATGTGCAAACATGACAGTTGACCATATCACAGTTTGAGTATTAATATCTCAAGTTAGAACTGAAGTTCACCTAGCAAGAGCACACCACTTCAAGCCATGTGGTGGTATATGTCATATAATTTAACTTTCTCTACACTGGTCCCTTTAGCGACTTGTTGGCAAATGAGAAACAGAAATGAAGAACATTATTGTTTGTTCGGGAAAACTTGGCCAATGTATTCTTTAGGGCTGGTAGAGCTAGACTACTGTACATGTGAGGTAAATTTCTTATAAACATTGTACTACTGTTATCCACTTTGACTACTTGGTAATATTTCTATAAAAAGTAGGGTGCTTGAAAAACTCATGTGGAACCTGCATACACGCCTATAACACTCATTTCAGCTATCCGAATGTCGTTAGAATTTTGTCATCCAACTATCAAGAAAAGTGAAATCTCCAAGTAGAAGATAAATAAACTCAACCTAACTGTAAGAGGTACATCTCATAGAACATCTTAGTTCTTACATGTTCAGCTTGTTTTCCGTTGCTTCAGATGGAATCTCTCTTAAACATTTTCCCGTCTTCAAATCCTCAAAGCAGATGATCATGTTCTCTACCAAGGCATAACACAAAGCATGTTAACACAACTAGTTGATAGAATATGTCTGGAAAAAATGATGGGAAGATGGGGGACTATGTTCGGCTCAATTAGTGTGGTAAGGAACTAAAGAGTAGAAGTCAATGGAATTTTTACCAGGTTTAATATCCCTGTGAGTGATGTTACGATCATGACATGCCTTCAGACCCATCAGCTGAAACAAGAAGCAAGAATAGAAATGTATATTAATCTACTAAGTATGAAATCATAAAAAACAAGCCAGCACCCTAAAAATTATGTCTTCCTTTTTTAATTAAAGAGAGGTAAAAAAAAATACAACGACCTATGTGAGAATGCTGGTTAACTTATTTAAAACTAGAGAATACCCCGCGCATTGCTACAGGAATTGATTGCAATATATTTTAGTAATATGATTGTATGAAACATGCATAGTTGAAATAATAATATATGAACTAAAACTAAAAATGAATATTATATATTGTACTCCCTCTGTCCCATAATATAAGATGTTATTACAACCAATGTATGAGTACATTGGTTGTAATAACATCTTATATTATGGGACGGAAGGAGTATTTGATTATTGTGTAGTCAAAAAATACTTTCAATTTAAGTGGCATAACATAATGGAAAACTTTTTACCATGCATGTTGAGTGCGCCTTTAATGGGGTGGCATGTGTGATGAGGGGGATATGTGCATGGGATCAACTAATAATGGAATTTTTTTCCTCATGCATGTTGTGGTGGGCCTTTGATGAGGTGGCATATGTGCATGTTAAGATAATAGAGATAATGAGGATGAACTATTTAGGTATATAGGATTTCACAATGACTAAAACCACAATAAACTATGTGAGAAGCACCTAAAGGGGCAGCCGTGACATTCGTTTACAGGACTATAAAGATTAGAATAAGCATACCAGTTGCCATAAGAGGTTTTGCATTTGCGTTTGCCCAGCTTTAGTAGTCCTTAACCAATACCACCACTTTGATGGTTGCAGAACTTGAATATATCTGACCCTCTCAGTATCATCACCAGTAACTAACTTTGTTTCTTCAGCAGCATATAACAATTTTGACAATGAGCGGCCTTCATTGCGGTACACAAGCCATATTTCCCTTGATTCTGATTCAAAAGATTCTATAAACCTAGCCACATGCTTCAGTGATTCTTCAACAGCTGAGATGTTCTGTTCTGGAAAGGTATACTCAATGAATTGCATGTCCATCGGAAACGTTGCAGATGATGATTCCATCCTTGACAAAACTTCAAGGGTTTTTGAAGCATTTGAAAATAATTCTCCAAAATACTTCTCCCGCAATCCACTCAAGTAAGCAGCATTTCCTCTTTCCACCTGCAGTTTCCAAGCACCAGAGTCAAGACAGAGATAGGACAATAAAGCTTTTCAAGAATCTTACTTATTGTAGGGTAAGGAGAATGTTGCTCTTAAATGTATCACATGCAATGGCGGAAAAGTGGTCGGACCCTTCCCCAGACCTTGCGCAAGCGGGAGCTACGTGCACCGCGCTGCCCTTTTTTATGCATTGGCGGAAAATTTCGAAATGCCAAAGATGCCCGATATGGTCATTATGCCCAATATGATCATTTGAACCACAGCAAGAATGTCAAAACCCAGCATTCGGTGAAAACTAATATATGCATGAACATCAAACATTCAGCAGATTAGTGGCTCCTAGCACTTACCAGCTACCGCAGCGTGAATCAAAATACATCAAGTAGGATCAATCACTGTACCTCTAAAACTAGATAATGGGAGCACATGACAGAATGGCAGATAGTTCATTGGAAAGAATAGTGGGCTTACCATTATGCGCTTCAATATGAATAAATCACCATCTATCATGTCTGAGCCATGATTTTCATCAGATGACGATGCTGTGTTTGAACTTGTGCAATTATATGAGTCTGGTGTAAGTATAGTGCTAAAGTGGGAAGGATCTTTATGTACATCTACATCATCAGAGCAGTTCCAACGAAATGCCAACCAGACTTCACCATATGAACCGCGATCAAATCTTCTCTTCAGCTTGTACCTAATTATCATTACAAAAAGGAAAAGCTCATGCTTATGTATACATGACTTGAACTATTACCATGAAAATGATTATATGCAACTTGATGCGAGGAAAATGGTTTCAAAGGAAAAAAAAACTATCTCCAGCAGCTCTTCTCGAACTATGCCCTTACACCTGACCTGACACCTCACCTGACCAATAAATTGTGCCACAAACAACTCTTCCATCATTTCACTAATGGTACATTCATGAATGAAATACAGCGATAATCAGAATATAAACTATTACCTCCATCCCAAATTAGTTGTCTTAGATTTGTCTAGATATGGATGTATCTAACACTAAAACGTGTCTAGATACGTCTGTATCTAGACAAATCTAAGACAACTAATTCGGGGTGGAGGGAGTATAAAGTAATATCTTTCTGCTCAATTACCACTTACGTGTGGTTCTTCATTTGGAAAAGTAATAGATGTATTGCACTCGTTATCACCTAAAACTTGAAAGCAAAAGTACAACAAGATAATATATGTATAAGTGATTTCGGGGGGAAGTTTGACTGGCATAAACTCTACCAGTAAGAAATATAATAATATCACTTTTCACATGAAGGATGACGATTAAAAAGCAATTAAACCAAATAATCTAAACTTCAGCAAACATCTACAGGTTGTTATTCAAATATGCTGAAAGGGTACTCAGGAAGATGCTCAACAATAGAAATGGTACCTGATGTCAGCTATCTTATAGCCAAATGCATGTGAACTGCTTGATCTGTTTCCATTATGTGAGACAGAATTAAGCAAGCCAAAATAATTTGCAAACCCTTCAGGACTAGTACACCGTCCCATTTCATCATCTTGATGGACAAGGTGCCAGCAAAAGTTTCTGTCCTTGTATTTTTCAAGATTTCCTGTACCCCAATGTAGAAAAAATTTACAACTGAGGGCATGAGCAAGCAAGCATCACATTACAAATCCACGTCTATCTCAGGTACCCAAAGTCTAAGATCAAAAATCAAATGTATAGAAACGAATTTTAAAAAAAAACTCAAACATGCCCAAATCAATATGTACAACTATCAAGTCTTAAAGAAGGATTACTAAGCCATTGAAATAAGACTACACCCTCCAACAAGCTAAAACCCTAGAAAGAAAAGGAAAAAAAATGACCTTGTTACCAAAAAAAGATGCATCCCTGAAAAAGGTAACTCACCATCAGAAGATAACACATTTTCAGTTGCCATGTGATTGAAGTCATGGACTCCTTCATGCTGATAGTCCTTGGGTACCCTAAATATAAAGTCCATGTCTTCATCAAGACTCTCAGATAAGTAGAAACAACCGAGTCTCTTAAGCTTTGCATCAACCTAATTCAGAGCAGGCAGAAATACAATTAATGGCATAAAAGATTCCACAATAAACTCCAACAGACATTGAACATGTAGCTTAATAAAGGAAAGTATGAATGAAGATAGGGCTTTCTTGTCAAAGAATTCCAAGTTCATGCAGAACACTAACATGCTAAGTGAAACATAGTTTCCATTCACACCGCACATGGAATGTAAATTCTCTTTGTTTTAATTGGTAATATCTAACTTTCAGGGCAAACAGTGACATAATATATTTCCCACTTACCAAGAATCTCTGGAACTTTGCCAATGAGCGCTTGAAATACTCCATTTCAATAACAGCTGAACTAACTCCATCGTCTGCAAATACATTGAAATACATGTCAACAAAAGTAAATACGGACAGAGAAAGACTTCATAGGAGACATTGAACTACCTTTGAGTGCAGAAAGTGAAACAACGAAATTTGATGGGTAGGCTAATGGTCAATGCAAGTTAACTAAATTAGAACTTTAGATTCACAGAATCAATCCAGTTATGTGTACTTATATATCAAACAATCACTTCAATAACAAACAATCACTTGGATAAAACAGAATGTAGCAACAGGGCAGCAAAAGAAGAGGATAACATCATAGAACAAGGAGTCATGTTTCCCCTTAAAAAACGTGGCCCTCCTATGAATATTTCAGCACACCTATTTAGGGTGCCCAACATAATAATAACAGGGAACTGACTAACATGCAAACATCAATCAGCTTAAGATTGAAAGGAAACTTGAACCAAACTGATAAGAAAATGCACGAATTAGCAAATTATTACTTTATTAGTCATCTGCAATCGGTGGGTGAAATTACAGTTCTGTTATGATTAAAGTCAAACAAAATACAAATGCTTTCAAATAAAATTGCAACATACAAATTACAGAGTAGTTGCAATTAACAAATATAAGTAATCAGAGACTAAGCCTACCTGACTTGTGTTGGTATGGAATGGTCTGTAAAGGCAAAACAGATGTCACTGAATTTTCTTCAAGATGGTGCCAATCTTCTATTCTAGCTCCAGAGCTACTAGGAGATCCCAATGGAACAACCACAGCTGCTACATTGTCTGTTGTGCCTTTCTGTAAAGCAAGATGAACTATAAAATCCGCCAAATTCTGTTGCACGACAGCAAGGGGTTCAAAATCCTGGTTAACACCATATTTCGCATACAGCATCATGTCGCAAACATCTTGCATACTCATTTTCTCAAAGACACCATCAGAGGAGGCAATAAGAAAGCTATCGTTTGCTGACAGAAGCTGCCACCCTGTCAGTTCAGGTGTGGATATTACACCATACCTACAAGAACAATGAGCCAGAACAATTCAGCATGTCCATGCAACTAACATATCAAGGAACAGAGAGAGAGTTTTGAACATCAAAACGTCACATTCAACAAGCCAGACATAAATTCTTAGTCATCTGAATCTGAAACTTCCGCATGGGCTATCTACAAACAGCGATATACTCCCTCTGTAACTTCATATAAGACGTTTTTTGACACTGTCATAGTGTCAAAATAAGTCCTATATTAAGTTACAGAGGTAGTATCAAATAATTCTATGCCATGATATTCTGGCTGTCTCAATATTCTAATCGTTAATCTGCAAATGCTCCTCTCACTGGCTTGATATTTTCATCGATTTCATTGCAGATTGCCTTGGGATCTAGTAGAACATCTCTTCTGTTGTAAAAAAGTTTAATCACCCTTCTGTCTCAGGTTGGTCTCTCCCTACCCATCCTATGGCGACAGATGGGCCATCCCTGCATCTCACTTGTAACATGAAGCCCCAGTGCCTTGCTCCACAAGATCTCAACTTCAAGTTGGTGTTCCTCGTTTGCTCTCCACTCCCCTTCCCAGTCCCTAACCTAAATCGGATGACTATCTCACCACCAGGCCCTAATCACCATCATGTCTCCTCCCAACCCTGAGGCCTTACCCTCACCCTCTGCCTCAACTGACCCTGCACATACTGCAACTCTGGAATCACCATGCACTAGTTGCCGACCTCCACGTGGCATCGGTGCACCACCAGCGCAGCGAAGCCGGGATGTGGGTGTCACATCATTGCATGTAAGGGGCATAGGACAGAGATATCCTCATGGCACCAGTAGCCTGGAGCCAGTGGCGGGGCACTTGGAGGGAGGGGAACTGAGGAAGCGTCCAGGGACGACGCCAACCAAGAGTTGTAGTGGGGCACCTTCATTTATGCCATGGGTTCAACTCTAGTTCTCTATGGAGGAATAGTGGTTTACCATAGGATTCCCCGAATTTATTTGGGGTCAGCTGACCTCAATGCTATACTGCTAGCTCCATCGCTGGAAGCAACTGTGCAAGTAAGTCCAGAGCATAATGGGTACCAGGCCAAAAATGGAGCTGAACAGCTGGGGACCAAGATAAAACTATGACGATGGTGTGAATTTTTGTTACCATTGTGATTGATACAAGGTATCAACAACTAAGTAGTAAGTAGTAAGTACAGTTCTTTGATAAGTTTTCTATTTGTAAGTACAAGAATGTGTGTCTAGAGTTATTGAGAGCCCAGTATACTGGACAGTCCTTGGTTAGGGTCAATGCTTAGTGGGTGTTTAGTTAGTTGGTTCCTTAATTCTGGAGTCTGGACAATGAAGCGATGAACAGAATGGTGGCCATTCGGCTTTCTGAGAACTCTTCTCAGTTCTCACTATGCCGTCCAGGCGTCCACATTCAACCCAGTGAGGGGAGTGTCATGTTGAGGCTGTGCATGTTGAGTTTGGGCGAGCTCAGCATGCACACTTCATGCTGTCTGTATATGTTGAGCATTCTTTTATTTGGCTTTGTTATGATTTCTTCAAATCAAATAACGTTGCCCATGTGTGCTAGTAAGTAATGGGGTTAAGCATCTGTCATAGTGAGGTTGGACAGAAACGACTTGAAGAAAGAATAACACTTGTGCCTGCTGGGGGTAGAGACAAACTAGAGCAAGGACTCTGGGAGATATAAGACTAGTTCATTCTTTCTTAATGAACAGGGATGGGGTGCCATGCATAATACCGAGCTGGACTGTAACAACTTATGTTAATATTTCCAGTTAACAGAGATACATCCCAAACCAATAAGATCCTAAATCTTTTCTGTAAGTAACACTATAACTCACAGAATGACAGGTTTAATGTACAAACTACAGGTTCCGTGATTAATTACATCAATTTTCATCGTGCACCGACTTCCGGTGCGGTCTGACCATCTGGGTGCACAAGCCATCCTCAGAGAATCGTGCAGCGGTTCTATGAGTAAATTCCAATTGATCAGCTCTTATCTCGTTACCTGGAACTGGTGCACTATTTTGAGAGGCTGTCTTGTGGCCCAAGTTAGTAGACCAAATGGAATGTTCGGTGCACCCTACAACATGCAGTTATGTGATAAATCATAAAACTGAACCATCTATAGTTCTTGATATTGATCCCCAAATCCGTAGTTTTCTGAGAGTTTGCACTTTGCACACGATACTTGCAGTTTGGTGAAAATTACTCTTTAATAAAATGCAGTAGGGCTATATGTAACTTTTCTATTTTTCAAGATACAAACTCCAATACATTAAAAAACCTTGGGAAACTGGTAGGTTATACATAATTGGAGAAAAAGAACTCAATAGATTGCATACTAACCGTTTAAAAGGCACGTCGCCAATAGCTCGAGATAGTGCGAGCTCACCATTAACACGGTATACACCAGCCCACTCAAGAACATAACCACCAGCAGCTTCTACACGCCTTCTCTCATCCTCTCTATCCGGATGATGGTCCCTGGTTAACTCCTTTACATTGTAAAGTGGTCCACCATAGTTTGCCAAAGCAAAGTCCTCATGATTGCTAGAGTTTCTCTTTCTTCTCCGTTTCCCTGATAATGGAAGCTTTCTGATTATTGTTTCTCCACAAGTCCACAGTGCAAGTCATCATACAAGCAGATCAGGATGTAGAGACCATTAAAGCAGAAGGTTTTATCTGTATGAAGCAGCAAAATGTGTAATTTTGGAGCATCTCCTGTTCAACTAGAAGTCTAGAAGTGAAGAATTTTTGTTACCACAGTTCTTTCATGATTTGATCCATAAATGAACCAATATTGGTCTTGGTTACTGCAACCTGCCTAAATTATTACTCAGTAGCCTAACAGAAAATTTTCTACCATGATATTATAAGTACAGATTTGTTTTTCCTTGAACATGCATCAAAATTCACGTCATTTTGTATTAGAAGGGGCACCATGATGGCGCGAAACTAACAACCAAAATGGAAAAGAAACTAGCAAAAGCAAGAACAAAACTGAAAAACTATACTACCCTACACTACCTAGAAAAGATTAAAAACGATTATTGAACACAGCCAGCTAGGCAATGTCTTAAGACTAATGCACATGCAGGTAGTCACATAAAAGGATGAAAGCTAGGCCCCCTAACAGCAAAGCATGCACTAATGTCTAATGAGGAGAAGCTTGTACTAAAACGAAGGCCATGCTAAGACAAGAGATAATGATGCATCACGACATGAACAATGCAACGTGGCAGTTTCAAAAGTTACAGTTAAAAGCTAAAATGTGCCGTTTTCAACATTTCTCACCATATGTACTTCGGCTATATTATGGTGATTTTGATTTTTGTTTTTTCGCCAAAGTCATGGTGCACCTATACTCTCCCAGATTGCCACTTGGTTTCTGCAGCATTATCTACAAGGATGTCAAATCCCATACCGAGGCAATGTGGATCACCAGACAGTGCTAATCGTGTCTCTATTATAAACATTGCTCAAAGAAACATGGATCCAAGGAGGATAGGAATTAGGATAACATTAGTAGTATGCCTTGATATTTTCAGCCCAGATAAATATAGCCTATAAATCTGTAATATGTATGAGACTGAAAGAGTATGGGATCTGGAGAGACAGGGTAACAGGGGGAGGGAGAAAATAAAATGCAAGAAAATGCTTGCCAGCAAGAGTAGGAGAGTAGTTGACAGGACAGAAGTATCAGTGGTTAAACATCCAGAATAAGCAACATCCATTTGGGTAAGCTATTTAAATAATAAAAGAAAGAAGACTAACTCTTTTGGCGGTATGGGGCATGACTTCGTGAGCACAAAAATGCTTTTGAATCTCCCACATTAGCCGTTATGATTTGGCCATCGGCTATCAAGACCACAGTAGCTGTTGAACCGGACTTGAATTTTTTTCGTAAAGCTTCCTGCATTACAGATGCCAAATAATTCTTTTCAATTCTTACGAACGTGCACAATGAAGTTTAATTTAGCTTACAAAAATGAGACCTTCCTTGGAGAATGTTAGGTCAATATCCTGAACTGCCCTCAATAATGATTCCTTCAGAATTTCCATGTGAAAAGATCGATCTAGAATAGTGGGTGATGTCCAACATGACCTGCACTTTTTTAGAACCATGAACAACTTTTATTGCCCTGAAAATAAGGTTTAGATTCTTCGAAAGTGGCATATGAACATTAATACTTTAATAGCATTCTGAGATCAAGGAAACATCAAAATCATCGTCAACATGCTGTAAACAGGATGTAACTCCATAGTGTAAACACAACCGGAACTATTTACATGGATTAAAGGGCATGATAAAAGACAAACCTCTGGCCATGATTGGGCTGATCCTCTTTGTACAGGTCAAGAACACTGTTAAGAATAGTAACTTCCTTATGTGTCAGCTTTCCGGTTGAGTTTCTGAATATGATGGAGTATATACCGTCAAGAAGAAAATAAACATGAAGCAACAAGTACTCCAGTAAGAGCTTAGAAGCCATCTCACTGGCCTCATCTCCATTATGACCATCAAATATGGCCATCACTCCGACATCCACCTCTTTAATTCTCATTTGCTCTGTACAATATAGCAAGTTAGCCAGAATCAGATTACAAATGAACCGGGTGCATCTTAAAGGATCGAGCATAAAATCACAATAACCAAAGCACTTTTGAAGAAAGTATTTCTACAAGATCGTTTGACTGACTATGTAATAGGCTAATAGCGACTTGTTATCCCTAGACATATGAGTCATGACGCACTAATCAACTTTACCAACTCGCAGTCTTGCAGTATGCAACCTTAATGGTAGGAAAAAGATGCTGTTCTAGGTCTAATAAACTCTGCAGGGTACCTTTCTACTATGATCCTTCCAACATGATATCCAGCTTCCCACTCCCATTTTTACGATTTCTTAGTGACTACACTCTCTGACATGAAAAGCCAACTAACATTCAGGAGTAAAAATCATAGTACCAGTAAACCAGAAGCAGAATACTGTTTTCGTTCCTCATTTCTAGCCCAGAGTCCATGAAGCATAATAATAAGTGCATTAATTAATAAACAAGGTCGCCAGTACAATCCTGGGAGTTGGTTAATTGCACATGATTTCTCAATACTCCCTCTTCCTTCCACCTCATAGCTGCAGTGCAACACCGCGTGTAAATTGCGGATTTGTTTTACTGACTCCGTGTTGTGCAGGTACCTATGAAGGGGATGCGGATGCCGAGAGCGCAGACGGCGCGGTCCTCCTGGGAGCGGCGGCGGCCACGGTGAGCCGCCACATGGCACCTCCTCGGCTGCGGGGAGGAGGGGCCCTTGTCCCCATCCCCCTCGCCGGCGGAGAGGATGGTCCAGCGGGGGCAGTGCGCGGACTGGTACACCGCGGGCGCGCCGCCCTCGCGGTACACAGCAAGGCACGTCGCCGACTCCCCCGCGCACCGGAGCGGCACTAGGAGCTCGATGAGGATGAGAAGGAGGATGGTACGGTGGCCGGATAGCGGTAAGGACATCGGCGAGTCGCCGGAGCAGAAGAGGGGAAGAGGGGTTTTTTTTTTTTTTTTGAGACACAGAGGGCAAGAGGAATTATGGGCTTGCGTATCGCGAGCTCGTGACGGGCCCCGAGCAACACTTTCTTCAATCCGAGCTGGCGAGTAGAGCGACGAGGAAGGGGGAGCTGCTAGGGAGCTCCTATAGGCCGCTCGCTGCGGCAAAGTGCCGACGCTTCGCACAGGAGCGGCTAGCGTGGTCCGGCCCATTTACAGTGGCATGCGGCGGCAGGTTCCCGAGATGAAAAATCGCGAAAAATAAAATAGTGCGATTTCTGTTACTCGAACACATGACTTCAGAGTTCTTGGCCTGCCATGCAAACCACTGCGACCTAGTCATTCCCATGTTCAATTTGGCAGCGCGAAAGTTAAAGACGTATATGACCAAAACAACACTTGAACATTAATTCGCGAAAAATCCCAAAAACTACAGTCCATTTATTGGGTCGTACCGACGACCTCCTACAACTGAATTTTTCGAAATTATGAATATTTTCTTCAAAATAAAAAACATTTTCCGAATTTTCATACAATTTTTTGTAAAACAGGAACATTTTGATGATGTGAACAAATTTGAAAAGGGGGAACATTTCTTGAATTTGTGAAAAAATGTTTAAATTTTTAAAACTTCCAGAACATTCTTTGAATTTGTGAACAAGATTGAAAAACATGAACTACTATTGAATTTGTGAACAAATTTGGAAAGCTGGAACATTTTTATCAATTCCCAAACATTTTTTGAATCTTGAGAACAAATTTTGACACGGAGAACAATTTTGAAAAATATTGAACAAACTTGGAATCACGAACAATTTTTTAAAGCACGAACATTTTTTGAATCTTGAGAACATATTTTCAAACGTAGAACAATTTTTAAAAATCCCGAACAAATTTGAAACATGAACATTTTTTGAATACATGAATAAAATTTGGAAACAAGAACAACTTTTGAAAACATGAACATTTTTTAACTCCCGGTCATTATTTGAATAGTTCCAAAAAATGAACAAAAACATTCCGAACAATTTTTGGAAAATGAGAACCATTTTTGAAATGCCTGAACATTTTTTTTGAAAATGCGAACATTATTTGAATTTATGAACAACTTTTTAAAGCACGACAATTTTTACAAAATTGAAAATATTTTAAAAGTACGAACATTTTTTTCAGTTTCTGAACAAAATTTGGAAGCTGATTTGTTTTAAAAAAATGGACTTTAAATGTAAAGGAAACGAAAAAAGAATTAGAAAAGGAAAATAAAAGAAAGAAAAAAGAGAAAAAAGAAACAGAAAAATTGACAAAAGAAAAAAACGGTTCAAAGAACCTTCTAGAAATTTCCCCAAACCAGAAAAAACCGGCTGAGAAACTCTAGAAGGTTCCCAAAATCGGAAAGTGTAACGGGCCGGCCCAGGTGAGCGCTTCGATCGGCCAGCTCTGTGCGTTGCGTCGACATTTCGACGCAACGAGCGGCAAATAGGGAATTCCGAGCTGCTATACAGCGCCCGCTACGAGCGATACGATCTGGTTGCTCGCGCGCGTCTTTCATGGGCCGGCACAAGTAGCGCAGGTTTTTTTTAGCTAAAAATGTAAAATATACAAATGCCTTCAAAAAACAAAAAGGTAAAATACACTACTCCCTCCGATCCATATTATTTGTCGCTCAAACGGATGTCTATAAACATACTTCACTGCTAGATACATCCATCTGAGTGACAAATAATATGGATCGAAGGGACTAATATATTTTCAGAGAAACATGAACACTTTTTATGATATTTAGATGCAATAAATTGTCTTACTAATTTATACAAAATACAAATATAGCAATTTTAATAATAAACAACAAAAAATACATGTGTCTGTCACATATATAAATAATCATGTACTCCTAAAATACATTTTATGCATTTTCTAAAAAGTGTTTTTGCATTTGAAAAATATTCATTTAATTTTTTAAAAATAAAAAATGTTTAAAAAAAGATCATCATGTATAAAAAAATATTTCAACATATATTTAGAAAAATCAATATCTATTTAAGATATATTCAAAATGTTACTCATGTATTTAGAAAATATACAATGTGCATTTGAAAAGTGTTCTACGTTTAAAAAAACAATATATAGACAAAATGTTATATTTCTTCGAAAATCTAAATTTTAAAACAAACTAGAAATAATAAAAAAGGAAAACAATGATAAATAAAATTAAAAAAAATTGCATAGAAGCAATAAAACATAAGAGAGAGGCAAAAAAATCCAAATACAAAAAATGCATTACACCAAGAATAGGGAGAAAACATGCACCAGTAGCCAGGCATCCTTTCCTTGCGCCGTTCCTCTCATCCCTGGCGGCTCCAACCCTAGCCGCCGCCAGGGACGCCAATTTTCTAGTGTTGTCCTTCGGCGGCTCCCCTCCGCCGGCGACCTCGGTCATCGGTGGTGAGGGGGGTCGCCGGATCCACGCGTGTGGATCGTTTTTACTTCCTCATAGTCTAGGTTTTTAGATTGTTCATCGTCTTGGCTTCGGCGGCGACGATGATGATGTTAAATAAAGATTCTTCATATCCTTCCCTAATGAGGCCATTGGCCCTATGGTTGGAGATGGATTTGGAAACCAGTCTGTTCAAGCAAGGATGGCGTGGTGGCGGCGGCATCCTCGTGGTGGACCTATGTCCTCGGGCTCCGCTGTTGCGATGGCGTTTGCTCCAGCGTCGGCGCAGAGCTTGGGAGGTAGCCCAGGAGCGGATGCAGATTGTGGTACGCATCGACGACACCTGGAAGACGAAAACGTGTGCTAAGTTTGTGGTTCATGGATGGGAGGTATGGTTTCCTCCTTCGGCGTCTTAGTCGTGGTGGGGTGCTACATATGGAGTTCGACGGCGTGTCCGGGGTGTTGCCCCAATCCGATTCGTTCAACGGCAATGGCTTCACTTTTAGTGAGCCACCTTGAAGGTCCGCAAAGCTGCATATCAGCGATGGAGCTGCATCGAGCTCGGTGGGGAGGTGATCCGTCATTCTTTTCTTTGGTGCCTGCTGTGGTGATGTCGAAGGCAGGTGGCGGGCGTTGGTGTCAAGCTCAAAGATGTTCTGCTATCTTCTCAGTTTTGTCACGTCGGTCATTACGTGACTTGTACTTTGATCTTTATAATATGAATGAGACACATATCACCATGCAAAAAAAATACCTAACTCTTTGGGTCGGCCCACATCAAGGTGTCGTTTTTTATTCTTTTCTGTTTTTTCTGCAATTCACAAGTTTTATGGAAAATGTGAAAAATAAGTTCATGAAAATTGGAAAATGAATAAACCCTCAAAAAATGAAAATGAATTTTTTTCCAAAATACGTCTATGATTTGGAAATTATAAAAATGTGAGCATATCTTATGTGGGTTAGTGCTGAAAACGTGAGCATCTTATGTGGGCCTACAATTTTAAGCCCGTTGAATTTCGTGCTACAAATTAGGAGGAACTCGAGTGTGCACCATGATCGATGATTGCCTCAAAAAAAAGTGTGCACCATGAGTTGGAGTTCAGCCGGTCGGTGCATGATGGGGTCACTTACTACTCGTAGGGTCATGGACCTGATATCTAATACCCACCTAGGGTCCCACACCATTATTGGAAGGTCCCTCGACCATGGGCGCATTCGGATGCACACTACAGGAAATCCACTCGGATATACCAACGACACTCGGACGTCTTCCATCCAGTCGGCCCAACCATCATCACTTGGACAAAGGATACGTAAGGACAACATGGGAGCTGCAACGATCGAGTAGCTTCATGTCAGACTTCAAGTGTAGTTATGGCTACCGTTACCTATAACCACCGTAGTCATGGTTGTTCATCACCTGTAACTGTCCTAGTTACAGTCTTTAACCCCCCTTGTAACATGGTGATACGTCTCTGTCGTATCTACTTTTTCTAACGATTTTCCTCTTATTTTAGACTCTAATTTGCATTATTTGAATAAAACTAACACGGACTGGCGTTGTTTTTAGCAGAACTACCATGGTGTTGTTTTGGTACAGAAATAAAAGTTTTCGAAATGAAATGAAACTTTGCGAGGATTTTTTATACAATAAAAGAGAATTTCTGGAGCCAAGAACCACCGAGGGGGGCACCTAGGTGGGCACAACGCACGAGGGCGCGTGATACGTCTCCAAAGTATCTATAATTTTTTATTGTTACATGTTGTTATATTATCATTCTTGGATGTTTTACAATCATTTTATAGTCATTTTATATCATTTTTTGGTACTAACCTATTGACATGGTGTCCAGTGCCAGTTGTTATTTTCTGCTTGTTTTTTACATCGCAGGAAATCAATATCAAACGGAGTCCAAATGCAGTAAAACTTTTTGTGGATTTTTTTGGACCAGAAGACATCCAGTGGGCCGAAGAAGTACCGGAGAGGGAGCCCGAGGGGGGCACAAGACACCAGGGCGCGCCTAGACCCCCAGGCGCGCCCAGGTGGGTTGTGCCCACCTCGGTGACCTCCCGCACCGCCTCTTTGCTCTACAAATACCCCCAATATTCTAGAAACCCTAGGGGAGTCGACGAAAATCAATTCCAACCGATGCAAGTTCCAAAAACACGAGATCCAATCTAGACACCATCTCGGAGGGGTTCATCATGTCCATTGGTGCCTCTCTGATGATGCGTGGGTAGTTCTTTGTAGACCTACGGGTCCGTAGTTAGTAGCTAGATGGCTTCCTCTCTCTCTCTCTCTCTCTCTCTATCTTGATTCTCATTACAATGGTCTCTTGGAGATCCATATGATGTAAGTCTTTTTGCGGTGTGTTTGTTGTGATCCGATGAACTTTGAGTTTATAATCAAATCTATATTTTTATCCATGAAAGTTATTTGAGTCTTCTTTTGATATCTTATATGCATGATTGATTATAGCCTCATATTTTTTCTCCGAAATTTGGGTTCTGTTTGGCCAACTTGATCTATTTA